TGGACGAGCGCACTCCCTCGGGCTCAGAGCTGTCCAGGGAATCTGGAAACCCAGGCCTACATGCCTTCCTTTCCCAAGAAGGGCCCTGACCTTGCTGTTGTACACCTACCTTGCTGGAAAGTTCAGCATTTGGTGCTACTCAGCTAACCTGAGCAACTCCACCCAGTTTGGAGCATCTCACTGTTCCAAACATCTGGCACTGCTGCCTGTGCTGGGCTGGCTGTGCTCAAAGGACCACAGGTGACTGGGTCCTCACTAACTAGCTCTAACGGCCAGCTCACCCTGCACTTTCTTGGACCATCCCAGACACCAGTCACCCTGGGTGAAGAGCCCTAAGCAGCAGACACTCTGGGCTGCAGAATGTTTAATAGAATGTTCCATCAACACCTGCCCAAGCTGGGGATAGGAAAAAGCTGAGCCTCCATTCGTCATGAAACAGCCTGTCGGAGCTTGGCTTCCTCTAAAGTTAAAATGGTCCATGATGAGTGTCTATGGCTGGGCCAAAAGGACCTGGCCTTTATTCCCACACCTTCATCAGCCATTGACTCTGGGGTTTCCTAGGACAGGATATTTTGTTTATTATTTTGCTGTATTTGTTTGATTTTTTGAGACAGGGCTCACGTAGCCCAGGCTGTGGTCTCAGACTTGCTGGATAGCCTGGGATGATCTTGAAGTTCTGGCTCTTCTGTCTCTACCTCCTGACTGTTAGAATTTACAGGTATGTGCCACCCTGTCCCCTTGAAGCCGAGGGCTCCTGTAGCTGAGGCCATCGTCCCTGGAGGTCTGAACACCCAGGGGCCCGTCTAAAGAGAGCTCTCCAACACTGGAGCATGTTCTCCCTGAAGGGCTCTGAGCAATACTCCTCCACCACATACTGTGGCACAGTGATTTAACGTTCTGATAACCATACAAAAGATGTCTGCTTTGTAACTGGACATGTTCTTTAATATGTATTTCGCCTTACTTACGAGTATGAATGTGTGGGTGTGCCCGCATGAATTTATGTGTACCACATGCATGCAGGTGCTTGTGGAGGCCAGGGAGCATCAGATCCCCTAGAATTAAGAGCTGCACGTAGTTGTGAGGTACCTCGTGCAGGTGCTGGGAACCAAACCTGGGCCCTCTCTATGAACAGCAAGCACTTTTCACTATTGATCTAGCTCTCTGGCCTGCAATTGTACATATTTTACTTTATGTGTTTAAAAATGTTCTTCTGGAAAGGGGTTTCCTGAGATGTCTAGGGCTCCGTGGTGTTAAAACAGGTGAGCCACCCTCTGATAGAGAAGCAGGAACAGCATCTTCTTTCTCAGCAACTTCTTTTGAAAATTGGCTTTATCTTTCCCTGGTAGCTTTCCACCTTCCTGTCCTCCGTGATCTTCCGATACATACATCACATCCATACAGTCCCATACCAGAGTTCGAGTTCTGTTTTCATTTTCCCAGGATCCTTTTAGCCCTCAGCATAGAATACATATAAGGCAGACCCTGGCATTTACCAAAATAATTTATCCTCTTCTTCCAAAACTCACAACTCTCCTAAGTTTATTGATCTCTTCGTTGAAGATGACTGACTAAAGTGATCCCGTGCCAACCTCTGGGACAACCAGCACCTCCTCTATGTGCTCCTCCCCTTCCTCCAAATGGATGCAGTAAATGACAGCCCAGCCTCTTCTCCCCACCCCCAAAGAACAAGGCCCTAAGACGCAGCAGTGCCACAAAATGAAAGGAGACTGGTTCCATGATTTCCCAGGGAGAGCTTATGTGCCCCAACCTGGAATTCCTACCTGAACTATTGGAATTGGGGTAAAACCGTCACAGTCAGGATCCATTGGTTTCAATGCATCAGCTTATTTTGTGAATACATTTGGTGGCAGACCCTCCAGACTCTACTGATCTGGGCTCTAACTCCGTCAGAGACTATTCAATCAAGGACCTGAAGCCAGAGAAGGTAATGAATTTGTCTAACCTCACACATGATGGCAAAATCAGACCCACAGCCTGCTACCCCCGTCAATTTCCTTTCCCTTATGCCAACCTACCTTGTGTGGGCTTGTGCTGGACCCAAGAGGCCATGAGCTTTCTGTTTCAGCAAGAGGGAGGGGTAGAGGGATGAGAGGGAACACATTTTCTTGGCCTGCATTAGTGAGCCATTAGCTAGCCACAGTGATCAAATGATCTGGAATGAACACTCAGCTCTGTTATCACAGGCATTTAAGGAGCAGATTTGCTTAAGACTCTTTCTAGCATTCATTAGCTCCATTTAGTGTGGGCAAATGTGACTGTTGGGTATCACGGGACTACAGGGTCATTAGGTCCCTGACAGTTCTCATTCATACTCTGTATTAAGGGCTCATAAAGATAAATTTGAATGTGGAGGAGTGTCACTTTGATGGTTACATATGACATATATTGAGAAAATCAAGTGTAACAAAAGCATTGACCTTGACAATGATAATAACATAAATACAATCTATCATTTAGTGAGTGCAATTTGTGACACACACACACACACACACACACACACACACACACACTTACTAAACTGCCATAGTCAGCTTGGTCATGCCAAAAACCAGCTGCCAAAATTTGATGACTTCTGAAACAAATTTGAATTTTTGCTCCCGGTGTATGTACTTCCTTAGGCATTTTCACTCCAGGATCCGGGCTGCGGTGGGGGGTGGAAGGGAAGGAAGCTCCAGGCGATACGTCTTTCTTCTGGTAGCAGGAAGAGTCAAAGACATAGAAACTCTCGGTGCCTTACGCTTCTGTTTGGATATGTGGGCATCACATAGCTGGTACTGAGCAAGGGTATGTGATGCCCACATGGGAAAAGGCAAGTGCTGGTGACAATAATAAAATGCCAGCCCTGCAAGAGACATGCTAACTCTACTCCTCTCCTCGGGAATAATTTGGCTAAGTTCCTTGGAGAGCCCAGAAATATCTCTTCTTCCTGGGGTGACTGGAGAAGGCTTTGGTAAAATCTAAGCTTGAGTTTGAGGGTTAGGTAGGGTATTAGTGGGCGGGAGGAAGAGCAAGGACCTTGTAGGCAAAGGGAACGCCAGAGCACAGAGGTGGGCAGGTGATTTAGCGGAGCAGCCTCAGTCTCAGAGTTGGAGAGCCATAAAAGCGGGATGGATGGGAATGCTGATCAAGGGGGAAGGACCGAATGCCGGCCAAGGAGCTCAAGCGCACCCGTTCGAAAGCTGGTAGACATCTTCTGAGCGAGAGACTGCGGGACTGAAAGGATTATGTCTGAAAGTTGATCTGACCAGGAGTGCAGGTGGGCTGAGAGAGGGGGAAACTGAGGGCAGGGAGACCACTGAGCTCCTAGATGCCCAGAACCGAGGTAAGAGTCTTGAAGCATGGTGGTGATAGTTGAAAGAATAGCAAGGTCAGACCTAGAAATTCAGAGCCCGATGATTAAGAAATTAGCCCCACTTCTATCATCTACCCAGAGCTCAATGAAATAAAATAATACAGTAAGTAAGCCTACATGGGGAAAAATGTTTGTGGTGCTAGCAAATTTTTTTTTATGAATGTTTTCCCTGTGTGCACGTATATATGTGTACCACGGGTGAGCTTAGTGCCCTGAGAGTCTGGAAGAAGGTGTGGGATCCCCAGGATCTGGAGTTACAGACCGTTGTGAGCTGTGATGTGGGTGCTGGGAATCCTGGTCATCTGCAAACACAGCAAGTGTTTGCTCTTAACTGCCAAACGACCTCTCCAGTTAGGGTTGTTTGTTTGTTTGTTTGTTTGTTTGTTTTGAGACATGCTCTCACTCTGTAACCCAGGCTGGCTTGAATTCATGGCCCAGGTTGATCTTGAAGTCATGGTGACACTCCTGCCTCAGCCTTCCAGAAGGCTGGGATTACAGATGGGAGCCAACACACCGAGCTGATACAACGTTGGAGTTTTTTTAAAAACAGTAGCTAGGATAGCAGTGCACACCTTTAATCCCAGCAGCAGGGAGGGGAGGGGAAAAGAGAGGGGAGGAGAGAAAAAGCTTAAAGACAATTTTGAGAGGAGAGGAGAGAAAGAAAATGCTTAAAGGCAAGTTTCAGCCTGTCTGGCACGAGGTGCCTGCCCCTCTTGGCATTTGAACAGGCTCCAGCTGTCCAAGAGCTTTGAGCTCTGGGGAGGTGAGAAATTAAGCTGCAGGCACAGCCCACGCCTAGATGGCTAGAATGAGGACTAATGGCCAGTTTCAACCGGAAGCTTGACTCCAGCAGGCACCTTAAAAATTCAGCGCTCAAGCTGTACAGAGGTGTCTCAATAAAAGAGATAAAAATAACTGTGAAAATGCCTTGCAGCGTGCTAAGCATCATTAAAAAGTACCTTTAAAAAAAAAAAAAAAAGATTTTTCTTCCCTAGGAACAGTTAGATACCTAATAGATTTGAAAGCTCCTTGATTTAAAAAAAAAAAAAAATGAAAAAGTTTTTTTTCTTTCCATGAAAACTCTAAACTGTATTACGATCAAGTTAATCTGTTTCAAGAGGATTTGTCAAGAAAATAATTCATTTTGGCCCTTAACAAAAAAGGTGGAAAGGAAGCAAGCCAACTGCGGTCCCTGGGAAAGTAGGCTCCAGCCGGGAGAACACCTTTGGGGCGCTTGTAGGAGGCCTCGGGGCCCAGGGGAGCCCGCGAGGGTGAACTGAAAAGCGCACGGCGACCCGCACACCGCTCCGCCTCGACCCCTCGAGGACCGAGGGAGGAGACCCCCCCGGACTAGACAAAGGCGCAGCCCCGGGAGGCCCGGGTGCGCGTGCGCCATGGAGCGCGCGTGCGCGCGGCGGTCAGCTCGGGGCCCGAGGCGTGGCGAGACCCGGGAAGGGAAGCCAGGCGGCACGGGGAGGGGCGGGCCGTGGGGCGGCCGCGCGCGCCCCCTGGTGGCCGGAGGGGGGTGCCCGCGCAGGCTTCACTGCCCGCCCCTCCCCTGAGGAGGTCCGCGCTCCCGCGGCTCGCGCCTGCGCCGCCCGCCGGCCCCGGGGACGCGCGCTCTCGGCCGCGCGCGCTCTCGCAGTCTCCGCCACCCACCAGCTCCGGCACCAGCAGCAGCGCCGCCGCCACCGCCCACCTTCTGCCGCCGCCGCCGCCGCCACGGCCACCTTCTCCTCCGCGGTCCCCTTCTGTCCTCGCCTTCTGTCGATCATCAGGTAAGCGCCGCAGCTCTGAAATCTGCTCCCCATCTGCCCCAGTGCGCCATCCCCCTGCCGCCCCTCGCCCCAGAGATGGATTTAGGGAGCTGGGGCATCAGTCAGGCGCAACGGCGGGGGGCCTCTCTGCGCCCTGGGCGCCGGGGAGTTGGGAAGGAACGCGTGCAAGAGATGCACGCACGCAGGCGAATGCGTGTGTCTGTGTGTGCTGGGGTCCGCACCATCGGCTCCGCGCAGACGGGGTGAGGGGGGGGGTGCTGTGCCCGCAGGGTGGGGCGCGGATGGCTGTGACCTAGGGGAGGAGGTTGTTCTCTAATCTGGATATCAGCCTCTTGCCGCAGTGGGCGTGGGGGGGGCGGTCCAACGACGACCCCCGAAACCGAACCTGAAATCAGATTTCTCTGCTCCTGGTTGCCATCAGCCCTAAGGAAGGTGTGGACGGGGTTCTAGCAAAGATGACTGCCAGCATGCCTCTCCCGGTACCACCTCCCTGACAGTGATCCTGACAGGGCCTTCCCTGGCCCTGATTTAAGGCGGTGGCCCGCCCCCTCCCCTCTTCCTCCTTCAGAAGCCGGCAGGGGACATTTGGGGGCTGGGAGGACTCGGGAGGATGGGGAGGGGTCCAGGCGCTGTCACTTTAGCCGCCCTTCCCCGTGCGCGCGCTTGGTACAGCGACAGGGGCAGCGCTGGTGCCCGAGAAAAAGGTGGTGCGCGGATCCCAGGGTGGAGGGAGCTGGAGGAGGCAGGGGGTCACCTGGCCCCGGGGTGTCAGCGGGCTGGCGGGCCGCGGCTCCCCGCTCGGGGGCGCGCACAGACCCACGCGAGGGCTGCAGGTGCATTTCGGGGCGCGTTTCTTTCTCTGCGTTCGGCTCTCGGCTCCCGGCTCCCGGCATGTGCGCGGGCTGGCGCGCGGGGCTCGCCCCTCACTGCGGCAGTGGGTGTGGACTCGGGTGGGCGAGGAGGGGAAGAGTAGGCTGTCTCCTCCCCCTGCCACCCCTCCTCCGGTTTTTTCTTTTTCTTTTTTTTTTTTTTTTTTTCTTTCCCTCCCTCCACCCCCCGGCTCTGAACGCGAGGTGCCATCTTTATGCGGCGGGCACGTCTCTATCGTAGCATGCCAGGCGCTGTGGCCGGGCTTTGGAGGACCCGGCTGGGACCCGCGTTGAGAAGCAGGGGCTGATGAACACGGAGATGTTGGCGTTTAGCGTCTGCCGCGGTGCGCACCCGAGCGTTCACCTGGGCTCTTCTGGGGGAGCTCGCTGCTTTGTTCGTCGAGGTCGTGTGATTTAGGATCTGTGCCACCAGCTCTGGGGGGGGGGGGGGGCTTTCATTCGGCGGGGGGCATTTACCTGCGCGCCGTGAACAACTCCATCCTTTCCTCGCCACTCGTTTCAGACCCTTTGTTGGAGCTGCAGGCTTGCTGGGGAGGTCTAGGCACAGCCCCCAGGGCACGCATGGAACCCCGAGCAGCCTCTTCCCCAGCTCATCCCGGAGCACAGGGGTGGGGATTCGCGGTAGACTACAGGTGTCCTCCGGGGAACCACATCCCTCCCCACACCTAGGCCGTCCTGAGGACCACACCCCACCGTGTTTCACTGCGAGGGACGCCAGCTAACGCTTGAGAAGCTCAGCTTCCCACCATCGCCACCTTTGAGCTGCCTCTCCCGGTGGGAGACTGAGCGGGGGCCATGAGATTCCCCTAGGGTGCTGCGGCCACACCCACCCCTCCTAACCTAAGAAGGTGGGGTGGGGGGTTAGGGGTTGCCATGGGAACCACAGCAGCCAGAGGAGGAACCTCTGGGCGTTGTCCCGCCCCTTACTCCGCGGAGATTCAGAGCCCTGGGGTAGTCTGACAGGGTTAGATCGTCCTCCTGGAAGATGCGGGGAAGGAGCCGCTCATCCCCGAGCCGGGCATCATTCTCATTGGCACCGGCAGCCATCAGCTAGGTGCCCCTAATGTACTTTTTATAAGCATACTGGCTTGCGTTAGTTTGTTATTATTTAAATGAGGACTTTCACTTAAAAGTCCACAGCTACAACAGCCCTTTGAATAGAATAGGAAGCAAACAGGTCCCAGCCTCCCCACCCTGCAGTAGTCAGCTTTAGTCTTCGAGGTTTTCTGGTTCATTCTACCCCTGAATACTGGTGCGGGCGTGCAGTTTTGAGGCCGATGAGCACCTTAAGGGCCGAATCGCCCACGTCGGCTGCCTAGATTGATGTGCTTTTCTGAGAATTGTCTGGGCTGGGGGCGTGGGGGGGTGGGGGGTGGGGGGTGGAACGCCCTTTCCAGGGCAAACGGCGGCCTGAGGCTGTGGCGTGGTGGCTGGGCCTACCCGGCGGACATTTCCCAGCAGCTGAAGGATGGCTTCAAATATGACCCATCCCTAGCCCCACGATGGGCTGCTGGGGGCAGGGTTCCTAATCTAAAAGAAGCCAGGCTCTTGGGGTGACGCCTGGGAGGGAGGCTGTCTATGGCGGCCCTTTGGGCAAAGGTGTCACAGTTCTGTAGGTGGGAGATCGGCGGGAGGGGGAGGAGAGACAACATTTCACCCAACGCAGAAACAAAGCAACAGACCACGCGTCCCCGAACCCGCGCGGTCGGGTAAGGTACTGTGGTCGCCAAGGCCCCGGGCTGCTAGTGTAAGATCATCTGGGCTGCTGCATGGCCTTTCTGCAGAGTTGGACGGCCTCTATTCCTGCCTCTGCCCCTTGCCTTAACAAACCGGCTTCCTTCGCCTCAGAAGCTACAAGTTTGCGCTGAAGCCGACACTGTGGAGCGCTGAGCCAGCCTGGGCTCATCCGAAAGGGTCCAAGAGCCAAGATTACACCCACTGTCCTCAGTGTCCTGGAGGCCCTCATTCACCCCTGGCGCTCAGGAAATTGTGATTCCAAACCTCCCCCCTCCCCCCCCCGCCGGGCTGTTTAGCGTTGGGTGGATGGTGGAATCACCTCACCCACTCCCCACTCCCGCACCGCTTCAAGACTGTCCAGATTTTGCACGGTGGATGCCCGGGCCCCTTCAACTGTCAGGTCTCACAGCAGAAAAAGAAATATGGTTAATTCTGTGGTTCCAATCTGAGATGTCATCTTGTGTTTGCTGCTGCTGCTGCCGGTGGTGCTCGCGGAATAGGAATTGCTTGCCTACTCGCCATTTGCAAAGCTTCTCTAAAAGAATGGCCGTCCAGCTAAGCATGCCCATCCTCCCCCAGAGCCAGAGCCGCTGCAGCCACCGCTGATCTGCTCTGCACCGTTTGCCTGGCTGGCAGATGTGTATTGGTACAGTGGTAACCTGGCCTGGCTTCACCTTTGATGATCTGAATATCCCTTAGCATGGCTGGGTTGGTTTTTCTGGATGAGTGACAGCCCATGGTGTGTTTCTCTGGTCCTGCATAGACCCTGTATACACACTTGCGTGGTGGTGGAAGGGTGTGGCTTTTAAGTGGCTTCTAGTGTCAGAGTCTGCTCCCCAGGGAGGAACAAAGGAAACAGATATTGCCCAGGAACTGCAAGAAGAGACTTAGTAATGGAGTGATTGAGGTAAGGTCGGGCTTGTTCCCTTTGGGAAAATGAGCCCTTGTACTGAGCAAACCTTTTGGCCCACTCGTCCTTGGAGGGCGAGATAAGCCTGGGGACAGGAAAGGACTGTGGTGGCCTTTGTGAGGATGGACTTTTCCTTCTCCCTTTTAAACATCAACCCATGCAGTTCACTTGTTGAAAATTCTAGGGAACTGTGTTTTATTCGGTCTCCCCTGAGCGTGCTGTACGTGGCTTTTGTGAGGGTCTGGGTGTGTGTGAGAGCCATGCGTTGTTTTTCCTACTGAATATGTGAACCTTTCCAACTATGCCTTGTCTTCTCTTTATCTAGTTAAGATAGTCCATGATCCCCTCTTGAGAGTGAATCACCTCAAAAGAGATTTTTTGAAAAAAGAATAACTTTAGAGACCTAATAGAGAGCTAGACATATAATGGGTGTTTGGCCCATAATCACTTAACAGATAAGTGGATAAAATGGAGAGACAGAGGTCAGGAGGGTGTCAAAGAGAAAGTAGAGTCGGGGGTCATAGGCAAGGTCACAGCATCTGGGAAACTTGGGCACAAATCTAGTCTATTTGTCTATGTGCCCAGTTGGTGCCAGACACCTGCCTGTGATCACAGCTTCCACAGGTGGTTCACCTGCCCCTTGTGGGTAAAATAGAAGAAGAGCAGGGAGGGGGCCATCACACTCCACCAGCCCACCTCTGGGGGCTATGTTCCTGCTGCAGGTGACTGGGATGGGCCGGAGACCACACTCTTAGCTCCTTCCACTCTCCTCACCCTCAGAGGCTCATCTGACTATTGTGCACCCAGGAGTTAGGGGTGCCTGGCCAGGTGAGAAAGAGAGATGTCCCTAGCCCCTAAATGGGACCGCATAAGGCCACTGAGACTTGGGTCTTTTCCTGGAAAATCATGGTCCTCAGTGGGAGTGACTGAAATGTCTGGAAAGTAGTTGGGGTAGGGGGGCAATATGCTGCTATTGGCCTCTTGTGGGTAGAGGCCAGAGATGCCGCTAAACTTTATGGGACACTTGCCAAATGGCACTGGCACTGGCGTAGAGCAGCCCTGCTGTGGGAACAGTGTTCCCCTGCCACTTCCGTCTCAATTGTACTTATTGGGTGTACACTCTTCTAGGAGTGCTGCTGGGGATGACCTCACGTGGTCCCCACAGCTATGTCCCTGGAGAGCAGTGACACTTACCCTCTGACGGATAGAGGGAAGCTGAAGCCCAGAGAGATTTATAGCCAAGCCCCACGAGGTTTAGTAGAATTCTTCGGGCTAGCCTGGGAACCTGGTCAGACTCTCCAACCACACAGCCCTTTTGGATCATGGGCTAGAATATGTTACAGAGGCGTGGATTTAAGCCCTTGGTGTCTGATTTTTGACATCTGGAAGAAAGGATTTTACTCCACCTTGGTGCTCTGGTTATGGAACAGAGAGGAAATCTTCCCAGGGACCTTACCCCCTAT